TATGTACCAAGTTTCATTGAAATGTGATGATTAGTACTTGAGATATCAGTGGAAAAACCGAAAATTGACTAATCATTATGCAAATTAGGTAATTAGTATCCACGGATTATTACCAAAAATAATCAAAACTAGCATATGTTCAGAGCATCTATGTACCAAGTTTCATCAAAATCCAATGAGTGGTTCTTTAGATATCAGTGGAACAGTCATGAACACTAAAAAATAGCTAATTATCATGCAAATTAGGTAATTAACGAGCAGGATTTTTACCAAAATAATCAAATCTGCGCATTGGCCCAGAGCATCTATGCACCAAGTTTCACCAAAAACCGATGTATGGTTCTTGAGATAGCAGTGGAACAGTCGGACACACATACACACACACATACACACATACACACATACAGACACACTAACTGCAAAGACTCCCATTTTGTGCTTCGCACATGGGAGTCAAAAATTCATTCATATATTGAATACAAACAACAAATATTTACTAACAGAGCTTATCAAATTTATAAAAACAGCAAATACCATTAGAGAAAACCACCTAATGGGTCATTAATATTTTTTTACATTATTCCATGTATTTGTATTGTAGTAGATTTTAGATATCTAACTTGTTTTGTTTATTTTAACACCTTTATTACATTTCATAAACCAAAATAGATATGTAATTCATTCTATAAGGTTGTAATAAAGAATTATCTTATCTTATCTTATATGAAAACAATGAACTTACGTCTATACAATTTAGTTTCTGGTTTAGTAGCAATTCTAATAACGGGTCTTTCCACATTGTTACTTCTTAGTAGAAATATTTCATCTTGACTAGTAGCGATGCTTACAATACTCCCAATATTGTCTTGAATGCTACCAATAATAACTTGCTGACTTGGATCATACACATACAGATGATTATCAGACCATGTGAACAAGTGTTCATTATTGTACAGCAATACACATTCAAACTGTTGATCGTCATTCCGATGTCTTGTTGCAACAAGAGTATCAGAGAGGAATTCTATTTTGGGATGTACTTGTGATTTTAGCTCCTTCAATAAATACGTTTGTTTGACTGATCCATCCATGCCTGCTTTCCATATTCGATAACCAGGTCGAGTGGCGTACAATGTAGCATCGCTTGCTCTGCACACCTCTTGTATAAAACATGCACCAAATGGACCATCACTGAACATAAAAGGAACAATATTATACAATCAAACCTAGGTATTGCCACCACCCAAAGAACTTCATTTTTTTCACTTTTCGTACATTAGACATAATATGTCCCCAAAATCCTGAGATGACACTGTTACAACAAAAACACATATATATGAGTTGATCAAAATCAAATAAGTTTGAAATGAAATAAATTGTTTATAAACAGAATGACATTATAATTATTATTTTTGTTTGTAAACAAAGGTGAATTACCAAATATTATACTGAAACAGAGGCTACATCAGGCAGGAAGTCGCTATATACACAGGCTACTCATTCGTTATGCCTTGGAACTGCCTAAAAGTGGTCACTATAGGCAGATAGTCTTTACATAGAAGTAGTCACAAGTTTGACTGTATAACCACTCCCACACCAGTATGACATAGGTATGACAGTAAAAATCTCACCTTTTTCGTGGCTTTTTTCCAACTTGAGTCAGTTTATTTGATTCCTCAGTATAACATAATACTGATCTTTGCAAAGTAGAAACTAATAACGTCTTGTGAAAATAACTTAACTGAGTTATTCGACTGCCTTCAGTTAATATTTGAAAAGACTGACAAACTGGACTCTGGATTAAAAAAAAGTGGTTGGAATATACCGGTCAAAATAAATCCTAAATAAATGCACCTCAAGTCAAAATGTAGACTTGATAAGATGGTCAGGCAATGAACAACACCACAAGGTATGGTACTCTTTTGGTAAATACCTAACAGATTGACAACGGCAGAGTCTTTGTCATCACCAACATCAACTTCGGTTGCCTTTCTTAAAATAACATTTTTTATCATATTTTTTGAAAACAATCTGGACACCTGTAGCTGATGGGAAATTATGTTCATTTGGTCAAAAGTAACAATTCAGGTAAAAATGAGCAAAATATTTCACCAAAATATTGACATGAAAAAATAAGTGTTCTAATGGTTTTTTTTTACATATCATAAATACGTATGAATTACTGAAATATTTTATTTATACAAGTTTAGAATTAATTTGACATTATTTTGGATTAAGTATGAATTACAATTATAATACCTGATAAAAATCTACTGATGTATAGATGACACGTCCTTTCTCATCTCCAGTGTACAGTTTCATTCCATTGGTGCTCCACTCGGCACAGGTTATTGCACAGTCATGTAATTTGTCCAATGAATGTTTCTGTAGCTGTTAAAACCAAGATACATACAGTGTGGAAGACATTATGACAATATTCACCTTTAGGTCAGTTCCAATCAGTAAATAGAAACACTTTATAGGAGGTTATCATGAACAATATCACATTTATTTTGTGTAATTGTGTGATTGTATAATTGTGGAGAAAAATTTGTCAGCAAGTTGTTTTCTTGAAGGCACAATGAAAAAGCTTTCACACCATAAACATTATTTGACCCATCATATACCCCTGAATAAAATATACACTATTCCTTGAATTAGTATTTGTTCTTATTAAAATGTAGCAGATTGCCAATGTTGTATAATTGTCACTGATGCCTATGTTGTGCCATTGTGTTTCTGCTAACAAACACTGTGATTGGTTGTTGTGTTCATGTGACTTACCTCTGTATGATGGCCAGGTAATTTGGAGGGTAACTGAAAAATACAGAGATGACCATTGGATGTTCCAGCAGCTACTAAATCATCTAAACAGGAGAGCAGTTTGACAGTGGTTATGTGGTGACTCCCAGACTGAAATATAAACAGCATTGAAAGTGTATATAAATAAGCAAACTTGGGAAGAATACTAAAAACCAAAACTTTGCTCTGGCATTACCATACATGTAATCTTCACCAAAATATTATCAAAAGTACAAGATCTGCCACTAGAAGCAGAGAAACGCCAAATCAAACACATAAATGATCTGGACGTTTCTTTATATAAAGTAATCACCTTCACAAAATATTTTTATTTTTTTTTCATATCTCCTGTGCATATTTTTATTTTTATTGTGTTTTTTTTCGTTTTGGTATACCACTGGAATCAGATACTTAATGATACCGTAAAAACCCTCAAATAAGAGCCACTTTGTAACACTTTCATTTCTGGGTGGTGCTTATT